CGCCGTTGGATGACGAGGGCGTCTGAAACGGCCGCGCGGTTTCCGAGAAACTCTGTAGCTACCTAGGGGACGAATTGAAAATAATGCCGGCTATCTTGAGATCGCGGCACGCTGACGGCCTTGACGAACGAACGGCGACACGTGTGGACGAGTAAAATTATTTCGACTGTTGTGTATTATATTCGATAGAGTATTTGAATAGAGAGCGTTATTTCGCAATTATTTAAGTAAATTTGACATCAACATTTTTTTTGAGGCCGCAAGAATCATTCTTTTCGTCTGATTAGTTGGATCATGTAGATCCCCTACAAAACTCCAATTTAATAAACGTCAATATCGGAAATTGCTTACTTTGAATATCAAAAGCACTGTGTTGTTCGATGTTTTCAGTACTTAAAATAAGTAATTTCCAGGATTAAAGTGGCCAGCATTAAAATATTTGATTTAAACACCAGTGCTTTTATAATATTCAAAATAAATTTATTACTATCTTCGAGTATTAAATCTTTGTTAAGGGAATTGTAGCCACCGCGAGTATTCACGCTATTTTCTCACGTATCGCGTACATACGTGGTATTTCTCTGATATAAGCCGCTATGGAAACTCTAGCTGGTTCGTTTGTCGTCAGCTTATCCGTGCATTGACCCTATCCGATATCTTCACAAATGTGGCCAAACCTATCAACTTCTATTCGCATTACACGAGGCATCGAGCTTCCGGAATTCGCTACTCACGCACGCACGCACGCACGCACGCACGCACGCACGGGTACCGTTAGATTTTTCTTCAAACAATCAGAAGCGAGAACCTGTATCGGCCATGCGATTTACGTGCGATTAACGTGCGACGCGGTAACAAAAGCCCCCCTCCTCCCCAACCCCGGGTGAGTTTAAAATTGTATCAAACGCGGCATTAAACAAGGCCGCCATTAAGGCGCACTCTCGTCCACGAGAGAATCGCGATGAATGGGAAGAGAGGTGCAGCGCGCACGAATGAAACTGTAATTAAGAAGCGGAACACCGCAGCGGCGCGCGAACTCTCCGGGAGGCTCTCCTCTCTCGTTCCTTTTCTCTCTCTTTCCCGCCGCAACGCTTTCGACGACGACGCGACGCGGCGCGGCAGCGCGGATATCCGTTCCACTTGCGAGCTTCGAGCGGCTTCGATTCGCGCGAAATAACGCCGGTTCGGAACGCGAAATTGGGCGGTAACGAGAGGCGCGTCGAGAGATGCCAAAGTGTCGCGCGCGTGTGGGATATTTTTTCGCGCGAAACCGTATTTCTCTCTCCTCGGCGTCATCCGATATAATATCCGGTTTGAAAAAGAAAATCGACTTCGCGGCGCATTCGGGTAAGGCGTGACACAAATTCACGAGATACCTAGATCGCGCTGGTAGATTCGCGCTTCCTCCCGCCGTGCAATTAACGCCGCTTCCGGTTGAAACCCAACGAAAAGGCTGCCGCGAGTCACAAGGCGCACGCGCGCGCGGCGACGACGGTTTACAATAGTAAGCTTTACTTAAAGACGGAGTCCCCAGCGCGATCTGGTTTTACGAGCGAGCCATTAAAGAACTCTCTCACGAGGGTGCTCTACGCGGTATTATAACCGGTCGCCGACGAAAGCTCCGCATCTGGCCGCGCCTGACTCGACTGCTGCGCTCGCTTTGCTCGAAAACGGCACCGACGGCGATACACGCGCGATAAAAGATAGGGTCGACTCGTGTCTTCTCGTAGGACGTTGTTACGGTCTTAAAGTTAAATTTTCTCAGCGCTCGTATTCTCATCGCGTATCATCCGGCTCGGCGAGCGCGGCTTTCATCTCTGCAACGTCGAACGCGAGCCGCATGCCGAGCGGAAACAGGATTGTTTAGCCTTAAATGCGAAGAGGCCCAAGAAAATGATGTATACCGGTCTACTTGCAATCCCCGATCACACTCAGCGCTAGAAAAACCGGTACATTTTTACCTCTCGCTTCAAGAATAGAAAGTAACGAACTGAATGTATGGAGACGATTTCAATTTAGAGCTACGATTTTTTTACGCTTCACAGCAAATCAGTTCTCTTTTTATATTTTCTTTCATTTCATATTCTCTGTACGAGAATATGAAGTAAATACTTTTCACGAGACACACGTGACAATGTTTTTCTGTACACGATCTAAGTATATCTAATAACTCGGACAACATAAAATTCAGAATCGGGACATCTTAAAGATATTTTTGAGAGACAGTTAAATTTTAAGACGTCTCTTAAAGACTTATGTTCTGATTTTAGACGTCTTGAAGTCTTATGTTCAGATTTTAGATTTGTCTGGGATAAATCTGATATTATTTGAATTTACTATCGCAATAAAAAGAAGTCGAAACGAATGGATTTCAAATAAAGATTACAACGTTTCCATAACAAATTAGAATATTTTTCGATATTTGTTGAAATAAATTAGTATATTTTTCAATATTCATTAAAAAAACATACTAGTCATATATTATCTCTTTTGCAAAAATCATCCGAAAGATTTATCACTCTAGAAGAGAAATATCTCTTTCGACTGTTATCGGCTGTTCCGACAAATAAAACCCGCAATAAATTCGTCGTAACGAGCTTCGAAGACACGCGTCTGCCATAACTGTATAGTCAGTTGTAGTCTTTCCTCGGAAAAGTGAATACAGAAGTTAACTATACATTATTAAACGTCGCCGCTCATCGATCGGTTGACGAGCTCTCGACGCCACTCGTTCGTCGCCGATTTTTTTTTTGTTTTTTTTTTCGGAAAGTCCTATTTGCCTCGCGAATGTTATATAGGTCGAGGGTTGCGGCGGCGATAAATTTCGTCGGAAGGTCGGAAGGCCGAAAAGTGAAACCGTAAACCGGTATCGATCCGAAACTTTTAGAGACCGCCGCGCGCGATGTTTCGAAAACGGGCGAGCGATACATACGCAATCGGCCGAATTAATTAACGAAGAAATCCGACACGAGAGTGGTGTACCGGCCGCGAATTTTATCGGCGTCCCAGCCTATTTTCGATCGCTGCCTTTCGCCCGTTTTATCACCGCGCTATCGCGTTACGCTTCCCACGCATTCAAGGTCCGTCGATTGCGTAAAAATTGAATATCGCCACGGCGTGTGTATACCTGCGGCGCTTAGTCAGCTAAGCGGCCCTACTTCTACCCAAAGCAAACTTTGCGAAGCACGAAAAAAAAAAAACAGCGTAGAAACGCGCAGGCAATCCGCACTTTCGCAACGTACTCTCCTGCCGCGCTCTACGCAATCGCGCGGCATTAGTAAATAAAGCGGCGTTAGTCATATTCGTTTTTATCAACGTCCTAAATCTTTCCCCCTCCGTCCCGTCTTACTTTAAACGTGCGCAATCGAATGTAATTAAGACCAGGGGAGAAAGTGGAAGGCCGGAGAAAAGAGGAGAGTATCGGTCGACGCTGATGGACGCCGTTCGCCGAAATTGGATCTTCCTCATCGACTTTTTCGAGAGAACTCGCGCACTTTCTTTTCACTCACTTCCGCACTCCACGCGGCGATATAACCGCGACATTACTTACGCGAATGGCACGCTCGCGCTAATCAAAACGTGCGCGCTGCCGCGATATCGTCGTAACGCTGGATTTTCGCACCACGCGACGATCGCGAGACGAGCGGAATTGCGAAAACGACACCGCGAATCTGCGGATTCGGCAGGGGGAGGGGGGAGGGGAGGAATCGAATTGAAGACACTTGTCGCGCGGCGCAACGGTAGCGCGTCGTCGTCGCCGTCGGCGACGTAACCCGAGACACGTCGTGGCGCCGCGATACGCCGCGGCGTTTTAATGCCAGCTAACCTCCTAGCCGCTCGCGAAGTGTAACGAGGATTCTACTCGCTTCCGGCGTTCGCGCTTCGCTCCGCTCCGCGCTTCCTCCCGCACCACCACCGCCGACGCTCGGAGCGTTGGCGTTAACTATACGGGCGGCGGTAGGAGCCACGCGACGGTGACGATTTACGCGTGCCACGCGCAAAGGGAAAGAGCGAGGCGATAGAGAGGAGGGAGACGCGACAACGGACGTCCGAGAGAGAAAGAGAGAGAAAGAGAGGAGAAAGAGCGCGAGCGAGGGACGGGAAAAGAGAGAGAGAAAGCGGGGGCTTACAGGGCTGAAAACAATCCCGTCGCACCTCCTGCGCGACGTCCTCGCCTCCTGGTGGTGCACCACCGCCGCTTCCTCACGGCGTCCGCGAGCGACGCCGGCGATCGCGAAGCGCGGGGACGGACGACGATCCCGGTCGGTCGATCGGCCGACGATCGTCCGTCCGGACGGAATATACGAGCGAAAATCGATTGTTTCCCCACCGGTGCACCGGGAACAACGGCGGGCACACCGAGGAACGGAACGAAACGGGTGACTCTCACGCACACCGACGGCGGCGACGGCGAGTGGCGACGACGCGACACTTCGCACTCCTCCGCACCGCACGAGCCAGCCCCGGCAAGAAGGCGAGCGCGCGTCCGCTGCTCTCGGCCGCCACGGGGATTAACGCCTCGGACACACACGCGCGCGACGATCGCGACCTAGCCACCGGAATCGTCGTGCCCGCTGCTGTAAGCCTACTCGCGAGCGCGGAGCGCGCGCGCGCCCCGCATTATCCCGGCCTTATCGCGCCACGATTTTCGCGTCACGAATGCCCGTGTAGACCCCCGGTTGTGCACACGGACGACGGACGACGCGCCTAGCAGACGACATTTTGCCTGTGCGCGAGCGAGCCCGCCCGAGGCGCGCCGGAAACGGCCGAGTCGCGGCTGGACAGGGGCGGCCCGAACGTACCGCCAACATTCAATTCGAATCCTCCGCCGTTCGCGTTCGGATGTTTCGATCGATATTTCAGAGAACCCCCGCAGCGTAAGTTAACAGCGCGCGTCAGGCTTCAGGGGTCTGCCTACAATTCTTCACGTCGTGTGTTTCAATTTTTTTCTTAATATTTCATTCTGTTATATCTATATATTTGAAATTTATTTTACTCCAATTTATAATCTTATTCTATCGCATACAAAAGATATTTTTGTATCTCTTGCATTGTACATTTCTTGCGTATTTCGTGGCCTCGTTCTCTATAATTGTAGGTCAAATAACAAGGAATTAAAAAAAAAGTAGATTGCTATTTAAACCTACTTGCGATAAATATATTTTCAGCGACGCCGAGTCTCTTATCTCGAGTTCAATATCGAAAACTCGTTCCGGCGCGGGCGCCTCGTTTCCTCTCGCTGAATCGTTCGGTATCAGGAGCGGATCCGCCTCAAGTTCATCGATCACGCATGCATACATACATCCCGCGCGAGAACTAGTTTCTCGAATTAATATATGCGCGTCGTAACCGGGCGACGCGACGTAACCGGCGCGGCGGTTAGCTCTAACCAGCTCGCATTTTTACGCGACCTCTCGCTCGGCGCGTGACGTCATGGCACGAGTAGCACAGTAGCGTAAAGCAGATCCCTGTTGACTGCGAAGTATACGAGATCCATCGAGCCGCGCGATGAGGAGATCAATATCTCTCGAATTATCTCGTTAATGTCTTTTCATCTCTTTCAGACAATTGTTCGTAATTAATTTCCGATAAAAATCTCATCGCGAATGCGATTCTGTAGGAAGAATGATTTCTATAGGGAACAATCTTTGTCGCAAATTCTTTATCCTCACCTGAAAAATTTAAAAAGTGAAACCGATTATAGCTTAATTGAAATTCTATACGTATCGGTATTAATTATCATTTTGGAATATCAACAAGATGGGTACTCAAATTTTGTAAAAGAATTCCCTGAAAATTCCCGGATTTTCCAGGAATTTTATTCAAACTTCCAGGTAAGATTAGAGAATTTTTCAGTACAGCTTTTAAAATAAATTAGACACTAAGAGTTTTAATGTATAGAACTTGATGCGTGAAATAATTTAATCTTCCATATGTACAATAGTTACATCTCCATACAAAATTTTTCGAACGTAAGATTTTGTATATGGAGATGTAACTACATATGTAAAAATTAAATTGTTTCACACACTGTTCTGCGTTATTAGACTTTTAATACCTGATTTATTATTTCCGGATTATCGTTTTTTTAGATTAACGAGTCTTTATATAGTCAATTTTAATAAATTAACTTTCAATATCAGGGGCCTTCGATATGAGGCCACGTTTGCTTTCTAAAGAGATAGAATTAAATTTAAAAGTATAAAATTCAAAAAATGTCTCCGAGTATCAGTAAAATTCCATGAAAATCCATGATTTTCAAAGGTAAAAATGAAATATCCTGAGAATTCCAGGTCTTCCCGGTTTTTCCCGGTAGTACCCACCCTGCGTATCAATTAATTAATATCAATCAATTAATTAATTACGGCTCTCCTCGATGCGCGAAACGCCGCGAGATCAAAATGGCAATTTCGGCCCTTTCGGGAGTTTAGCTAACGCTCTACAGAAATTATGACGGGTGTGCGTAATTGTAATAGTTAATTACAGAAAATGACAAAGTGTACGTATTTGATTAAGCGACACTTAACCTTGTGACGCGTCTCGACGAGAGAAGGTGCGAGATGCGCGTGGATTTCGGGCACGCGGAGGCAGAGGAATCGCTGACACAATAACGTAGACGCCGAGACGACGATCCTCGTTGCGCGTCACAGACGGCGTCGCCGAGCATCTCGACCGATCACTTGACGTGAGACTGTCTCGCATGCGCGAATTTGACGAAATTCGGACGACAAACGCTCGCGAGAGCGATGCAGAACGAGATCCGAACGCGATTCCGCGCTGCACCGTGACACGCGCGTTCCGCACACAATTGCGATTATTACTGCAGGTCGCAGTTCGAAATTTCTCGAACGGCGATATTGCGATATTCTCGAAATGGCGGGTCTCGCGGCGGCGGGCAATTGGATTGGCGCGTTTTGAACGCGCACGTAATACGAAATATTATTATTTATAAATACGTTAATTTTTACCACCTTCGTTTCTTCTCCTCTCAAAGAAATGCGTATATTATACACGGAGAGAATTTTCTTTTAAAATTTACCCTGAAAATCATGTTAATTGCGAGACAATATAGTATTTAGGTAAATTTTACTGTGCACTACAATAAATTTTATTGCGAAATCTTATTGTAATGCACAGTAAAATTTGCCTAAATACTATATTGTCCCGTAATTAAGATGATTTGCAGGGTAAATTTAAAAAAAAATTATCTCCGTGTATAATATACGCATTTCTTTGAGAGGAGAAGAAGCGAAGGTGGTAAAAATTAACGAGACGCAAACTAAATCGAATAAAGTTACTACTTTTGACTGACAGAAATCAAATATTTCGGCAAATATTGAAAATAATATATGAATTATTTCAAACAGCATAATTAGCGGCTAATTGCGGGACATTTTTAATGGAAAGAAAATGACTTTTTATTAACATTCCTCTTACGAGAGTGATAAACATAACTGCAAAGATTGCCGAGTAATCTTTGTCCAAAAACGACTTGACTCCGAAAGGAAATCGACTATACGAGCGATATAATAATAGGTCTGAAGTGTTTCCTCGATGTGTGTCCATATTATCACAATTTTATCACAATTTTTAATGAAAAGAAAATGACTTTTTATTAACGTTCCTCTCACGAGAGTGATAAACGTAACTGCAAAGATTGCCGAGCAATCTTTGTCCAGAAACAACTTGACGCTAAAGAAAATCGACTATACGTTATAATGATATACCTGAAGCGTTTCCTCGACGTTGTGTCCATATTATCACAATTTTATCACAATTTTTAATTGAAAGACTTTTTATTTATTTAATTGAATGACTTTTTATTAACGTTCCTCTCACGAAAGTGATAAATATAACCGCAAAGATTATCGAGTAATCTTTGTTCAGAAACGACTTGACGCCAAAAGGAAGTCGACTATACGAGCGTTATAATGATGTCTGAAGTGTTTCCTCGATGTTTGTGTCCATATATTATCACAATTTTATCACAATTTTTAATGGATAGAAAATAACTTTTTATTAACGTTCCTCTCACGAGAGTGATAAATATAACTGCAAAGATTGCCGAATAATCCTTGTCCAGAAGCGACTTAACGCCGAAAGGAAATCGACTCTACGAGCGTTGTAATAATATGTCTCAAGTGTTTCCTCGATGTGCGTCCATATTATCACAATGTCGGGCCAATGTCTATAGATTATCTACACTCGAGGAAAACGTCCGGCAATTAGCGAAGACCGTTTTAGCAGACGCAAAAGGTGCGATATGAGCGATTACGAACCTCACTTACGCGCCTTGCATGTTAATATTAATGGAACGTGAGATCACCTCCTATAAGTAGGGGAACGCGTCAATTTTTCATACCGCGGCTACTCCGCTCGGGAGTACCCCCGGCGCGGCGCGGGCGTTTAACGCCACTGTCACCAACCGGGTAGCCTTCAAAACCTTTTGCCGGTTGATGTCAGCACTAAATAAAGCCGGTGATACTATCGATAAATCTGCCGTTTCCTCCCTGAGTATTGAAACGAGCGCGCGCCGCGCGCGCGCGTTTGGGTACACTTGACATGGAGGAACGTATGTCATTATCATGCGGAATACATTATCTCGAACGATCTCGGTCGGTCGGAACCGGCAGCGACGGGCAGCGGTTTTTTTGTCGTTTTTTACTGTGACGTAATGTCGTAAATCGACCGCGATACCTTGCGACGTGTCGATCTCAATAAGGAAACGAGAGATATAATTGTATAATTATGTATGTAATAAATTACAAAGATCGCGTTCGATACATTATGCTATACAGTATTGTACAATGACTAGTTTCCGCTTCCACAAAGTGCTTCTAAGACGATCGGTGCTGGGCACCGTATAAATTTTATACGTTGCCGGCGAAACAATTTTTTTTTTTATTGCACATACCGGGAACGGAGTTAAATTTATTTTACATCGCGGATACCTCCATCTAGGAGATCCCAGGTAATTTCTAAGCTCGACTAAACGTGCTGAACCTTGGCGCTCTTCAGCGCCCCTTTAACTTTCTTGCTGTCCGCAGCGGTGACTTTCCAAACGAGTTCCAGGTTCTCGCGGGTCGCGCTGATCTCTTTCTGCAGCCGTCCGATCGTCTCCTCTTTTTGCTTCAGCAGATGCTTGAAGCGTTGCACCTCGCGGTGATACTCGTCCTTCATCCGGTGCACGCCGAGTTGCTGCACTTTCATATTTTTCTCGGTCAGCGCTAATTGCTGCTTAGCGCCTTCGTGTACGATCTGATAGATAATAACGTGATCGTATTTTTAAAAAATCAACAAAAGAATTATATATATATAGCTTTCCTTTGTTACATATACCTTTAATTGATCCTTCAGGTGACCCACTCGTTGAGTGATGGTATCGCCGAGAAAATGGATACTTGCATTTTCATTTTCCGTTTCATGTAAAAGTGCAACTAACTTATCCCGTTCGGCGACTATCCTTTCGTATTCGCTAAATAACTCTTCGCAATACAGCGTAGTCTTCCTTAGCTGTTTCTTAAACGAATCTCGGGACGTTTGCATGGAATACGTAATTTTTTGGAAATGCTCCAGCTTTTGCTGCATACGTCTACAGAGGGAAGAAAAAGAAAAAGAATTAATTTAAATCACAATTTAAATCTTTAAATAAATTTGAATCAAATTAGCTTAGGTCACAAATATTTTAGTTATTTTATAATTTAAGTCACAAATATTTAAGTTTATTTCCTAATTTTGTAACGTATTAATACGAGACTTACTTCAAACGTTTCTCAAAGCTCTTATTCAACGCTTTCAATTGATTTCTCTCTATCGTAATGACATCCAGCTGCGTTTTATTTTGACCGTGGGATTCCTCCAACTCTTTAACACGAGCGGACAGCTTCTCCTTCTCAGTTTCATACTGGCGCTTCAGTTTATCAAACAGATCTCGGCATTCCTCGACGGCGGCATTGTGAACGTGAATAGGCATTGTTTTTGTATTATCGTTTTGCAACTTTTCGTACTCCTTATGAAGAACATCGTATTTCCCTTGAAGATTACTCAATTCGGTCTTGGATGCGAGATACTCCTCGTGCAGTCTGTTATTGTCGAACGACATCGCCTCGACTTTCTGCTCGTACAACGAATGGATCTCGTGTATCTTTTGCTTCTGATGAGCCGTCTGCCTCGTGTAACACTCGTTCAACTCCTTGAGCAAGTCACCGTCCTCGGATATCATCTTGATTTCGTCCGCGTACCTGGTACACTGTGGAAAGCTTTTACTACAATAATCTTGTAAGGTGCACGAACATCCTCTCTTATTAGATATAATACCTTCGACCTCAGTTTCTCCATTTCGTTCTGCATACACTCGTTCTCCGCGATAACCTCTTTGCATCTGGTACTGAAACTCGCGATGTCCTCCTCGTATCTATTTACAAGCTCCTGCTTCTCCGACAGGCTCTCCTGATAGGCGTCCAAAAGTGGGCCCAGCACGTGCGTGTTCACCGAACCCCATGATTCCGATATCGTCCTGACATCGTCCGTCTTAGAATCTAATACGTCGTTAATATTTTTAGACGAGACACCTTGTCCAGACTCCTTTAACTTATCCTGATATCTTTCAAGCTCCTCGTTCAATCGATATATCACGTGCTTGAGAAGCACCACATCTTCGTTTAACTGAACATTTTCGGCCTTGCATCTTTGGTTGAATGTCAGAAGATTGGAATTGGTTTTCTCGACTTTTTGCAAAGCCTCCGTGAATTTCTTGTGATGCATATGCAACTCGCGGTACTCCGTTTCACGTTCTGCCAAACGGTCGTTTATCTTCTCATATTCCTGCCGCAGGCTGTCGTGGCTTTTCAACAGCTTGTGATACTTGGTGTAAATTTTTAACACCAAGGAATCCTTTTCTTTCAATTCTGCGATGGTCTCTGAAATTTTATAGAATATATACTTTCTCGACTGCTTGTCAAGAGATTTAATGAATATTACTTATATCGTAAAGTACGTCATCAGCGAGAATTTACCAGGACTTATGTTAGAGCTTTCCAGTTTCATCGTTGATATTCGGTTCTCTTCGACTAGCCTGTCAATTTTCTTTTGAGCGCCGTGCTTGCCGCCTTTCTTGGGCAGCGTAACGCCGTTGCCGTTTCCATTCTTATCCGCCGACTCCTCGAATTCCCCGTTGACCCTCGAGCGACGTCTCGTCCTGTGAAACCGTCTGCAACGTAGCGGCTTATGCACCGGCTCCAGTTCATTCTCTACGATTGAAATCTTACGACTGCTGCGCTGCGATTGGAATAAAACCGCATGTCAAGGGGATCGCCCCGTCACATTGGAAAACCTTCGTACATTCACGAAGAGATGCGAAGACATCTCTTTCAGAGAGACATGACCTACCTTCTCTCTGGTTCTGTCAGCACTGTTGTCGCGATTTGGCATTGCCCGCGGTTGCTCCAGGAGCACACACGTGGCGGACGACAGGCGTGGGAAATCTCAGAAAGCCATCTGCACATGCGATCCGTCTGACGGTTACCGGCCGTAAACGCGCGACGCTTCGCTTCGAGTCGAGACCGACTCGAAACAGGAATTAGCTCACGGTTTGTTTGTGTTTTGATCACGGCCATGACGTCGACCGCCATGGCAACCGGCACTTCGGCTGCTGCCGGAGCCCGCCGGCGGCGAGGCCGGCGAGTAGTCGAGTCGGACGTCGATAAGCGCGGTCTTTCGCTCCTTGGATAACGCCGAGCGCGAACGCCACGGTGCTTCCCGGTGCTCGCGGTCAGATGGCAACAGATCGACAACCACGCGAGGTTTCGCGCGGCAACCGACAGCCAGTTTCGAGCTAGCTAGGAACGACCGTATCGCGCGAATCAATGAAAGACCGCGGCACACATATGTGCGCGCGTATGCATATTTCATTCAAGTTCATTCAACGTGGGGCCTGCCTGAAAGCCCCGTCGCCAGCCATCGGGCGCGGGCAAGAAGAGGGAATTGCTATTTATAATGAAATTGCTCCAACTATCCCAACACATATGTTCAATTTATTCTTGCACAAACTCGACCGGCCGCCTGCACACGCGCGGCCGCGCAGAGGCGCGCGATGCTCGCGGATTTCGTAACTTTGCAAAATCGTGTGCAATACGCGTATACGGTCGTGCTATCTGCACCGTAAAGTTTAACAATTGATTGTAACGATAGTAATAATAGTTACGGCCATCGAGCGCAAATTAGTTCTTTTAAAAGTGCTTTCTGTCAAAACGCGGATATCACTTGCGACCCGTTATTTTGTCAAACAGCTTCAATTTTCGACAAATTCAGCCTTTTTATTTTGCAAGCTGCGTACTATTGAGAAAAAAAATTTGTTGAGAAACGCAAAATTTGTTTTATTTTACCAAAATATTTAGTCCGATATGTTCAACTACGATAACACAAAATAATTTGTTACTATTATAAACAAAATACTATTTTTTAACTAAACTATTTTGTTTCAACAAAAATTTATTGTATTTGACTCAACCGTTCTATTAAAAATACACACTATTTATTATCCCCATTAGCATCGTTTAGTTATAGTTTGATACTTGGGATTTAAACAAATATATTACTTGGATAAATAGCATGCAAACACAAATAAATACTACTAGTATTTCGAACCAAATAATTTAATTGAGTTGGTTTAGTTAATTCTTAATTGAAAAAAATTTAATAGTTGACATGAATGAACTATATATCTTTTTTTGCAACTAAAGAATTAACTGTTGGATCAAACAACTATACAAATTTAGTTCGTACAGACAATTTTTTTTCTCAGTGTAGAAATTCTAAATGGCAATAATATCGATGAGACCGAATCGCTTATATTGATTTCGGCAAAAAGCTTAACTCATTCCTGTAGCATGTCAATCTCTATACATTTGCTTGGACTTGCGATATATGATAACAACCGCAATGCGGTTCTTCATAAACGACTGTCTATTTCGGAGTTAAGTAAATCGCGTAATGTCACTTTATTACATGACGATTTGGTAATAGCAAATCTGATTTCGATTGCCAAAGCGACATGTCTACCTCTACAAATTAATTTATAAGAGGACAGCAAAGTTGGAAGTACATGTATATTTTAGAGGAAACCGTGTTGGTTGCTCAATCAGCATCGGTGTGACAACTGCGTCGCAATAATTTACTCCTGAAATACACTTAAGTGAGACTTGGCTGCAATCGACTTTTAATTATCATTACTATTTTCGAGATAATTTCATCACTAACGTTTTTAACCGTCTCGTGTTTCAGGCGCTCGAGATTAAAAACGCTGGTTAAAAAATATATATTTTTTCATAATTAATGCAACGTATAAAATCCACGATGCGAACTCTGATTGTAACGATTAAATTAAAAAGTATTATTTTTAAATTACGCAATGCATCTTGTTTCTTATCGCATATCCGTAATAATAAAGGAAAATTATAGTCTGTATAATACAGTTATCGGTAATTGTCCTTTTACAGTTGGACTACTCGTGTTGAAGCTGTCGTTCTGTTTTATAATGTCAAACGGCTTATTTCATCAAAGCTGCAACTATTCACAACGCTTAAAGTCTGGCAGCACCTATTACGTGTACAATCCCGACTACCCTAACGCTTCCTACGGCCGACAGCACTGCAAGTGGATCGCGGAAAGTGATTATCGCATTAGATTAACATGCAACAGTTTCAACGTACCGTGGGTAAGATTCGTGTCTTGCGGCAGAATCGAACACGATTTACTGAAAGATATTTATTGCCACGATCGTCGATTCGTATAATTATATAAAAGGAATAATAATATAATTTTCTACTTCAAATCGTTAAAGCAACATTAAAACTAATTATTCGTTACTAATTAGAATTACAGACGATATTTAGAATATTTTTTTCCGCAGAATTTTAGATGTGCCTTAGATAGACTAACTGTATATGTGAACGATTCCGTATCTCGATCTTATTGCGGCAATGAGACATTTAGTGTAGAATCGACAGGAAAATTCATGACCATTGAACTATCAACCTCATTTTGGTCGTCGGGAATTAAATTTCTGTGCGAGCTGCAGGCGATCGACGAACTAGAGATCGACAACTGCAGATGCGGATGGAAAAAACCGGTACGTACGTGCTAAAAATATAATTAGAAGAAATTCGTAAAGAAATTCGATACATATATATATACATATACATATACGTATATAACTTCTACGAGTTTTTCGTTCTGATTCTAATTATACATCGTAGACGAAAATAGTGGGAGGTATGGAAACTGGCGTGAACGAATACCCCATGATGGCTGGTCTCGTCGATCCTTTAAAGGTCGATGTATATTGCGGAGCCACTATCATATCTGAAAGACACGTGTTAACTGCCGCACATTGTTTGACCGATAGAAGCACAAGTAATGTGGGTGTACTTGTGGGAGATCACGATCTCGGCACGGGTAAAAATTTCTTTCAAAGGCAAACTTTTCACAAAGAACATAGTGCCATTTTCATGAATTTCTATTATTACTTTAACATTTAAGCGAAGTGAAAATAAAATTAGAGAAAATGTTAAAGGCTCAGAGATAAGAAATCAAATGTGAGAATAAGGTATGCCTTATATGAGAGCTAACGCTGATATTAATGCATAAAAAGAATCTTTATTGAATAATAATAATAATAATAATAATAAGAATCGCATATATTTCGACCTTTGGGTCCTCTTCAATGCAGAAAACATCATTCTTTTTATGCATTAACATCTGCGTTAGCTCTCATAGGCATACCTCATTCTCATATTTGAAAGTAAAATATTTAAGGAATTAAATATAAAATATAATACAAAATATATAATACAAATAAGGCTGTGCAGATCTTAATTAGATATTCCTAATCTTTATTTGAATTGTTAAAATTTGTCTGCTCGATAAAAAATATCTTATGTATTCCTTCAGCGTTTCGACTATGGTAATTGAAACATTCCAGGTGCTGATACAAATGCCTCAAGCCTTCACACTGTATCCAGATTTTACGCGCATCCTTTTTACAACCGCGAATCCTTAGAAAACGACATAGCTATAGTAATGGTGAATTCTGTTATAAGATTCAGCGACGAAGTCGGACCGGTTTGTCTTCCGTTTCAACATCAGTCCGACTCCTTCGCAGGAAGTTACGTGGATTTACTGGGTGAGGCAAATTGTAATAGCAACAATCGTTATCTCAATAATTTAACGTGTTTTCACACACTATATGAGTTTTCATTATTTCGTGTAGATTGTGCAAACAAGTTCTTATACGTTTGATTTAACATATCAAAACAGGTTGGGGAACGACACAATTCGGAGGAATGAAGTCAAGAACTTTGCAGAAAATTACGGTAACCGTGATCACGAACCGGGAGTGTCGTCGACAGTATTCGAATGTTTCGTACAGTCAATTATGCACTTACGGGGAGGGAAAAGACGCGTGTCAGGTCAGAAAATTCGACAGAATTTAGCGTAGAAAAAGTACGCGCTTTCGGCATACGCATCGTACACAAATCGTGTTTACAACTTTTACAGTTCGACAGCGGCGGTCCCACTCTTTGGCAGAATCCTACGACGAAGCGAGAGGTTCTCGTGGGTGTTATCAGTTCCGGGTTCGGCTGCGGCAATGACAAACCGGGAATTAACACGCGTGTCGGCACATACTTGGATTGGATCTTAGCTGTAACGCCGGGTAAGTGCATGAAGCGTATATACAAGTGTGCGTTATGTATATGCGTTATCGGCTCATTGAGAGCGTGTACTTATCTTATGATACTTATATCTTCTTCCAGGTACCAATTACTGCAAGTCCGAATAAGAAGAGCGTAAACAGAAATGTATATAAATATTTGTTTACATCTGTTGTGTCATTGCATAGATATTATTCCGAGTTACACTGCAGCGTGCTATTCATATACGATATACTTTTACATTCTCAGTTTTGTGTAATCGCGAAAGTCACGTTAATTAATATAATGCTTTTGGCACGTGTAACATTTGATGTACACAATATTAATTTATGAGCTAAAATATATGTATACCTGCTTTATCTTCAACGTTGCGCATCAAAATACACTTTATTTATATTAATCAAAATGCACTCAATATCGATCTGAATTACGTCAATAATTAACAACAGACAATAGATGCATGTCAAAGAGTTTCGAGCAAATATTTATAACAATATACATTTTGACGGCACACGGTATGTACACGGTGTGTTCCAATATCAGGTAAATAATTGGATTTGTTTATTCATTGGAAAGAATTGCGGTACGCAAATTGCGCACGACGGTTCATCTCATTAATTCACCCGAGATACTCGTGCGCGCTTATGCTGAGAACTTTGATTGTCCTTAATAGAGATTTCCATGGTGTAGAAGGATCAACATTGACGGCTCGTAAACAATGTCTCATTATTAATAAATTCCTGAATGAGGATGTGACGTGAGACCGTCTATGGGAGGGAATGGTCTATGGTAAGCGACCACTTACACCGACCAATGTAGCACCACATTAGCTTACTTGCCATGGCGCAGTATGTACCGAAGATTTATATCACGCTCTCTTACTGTGAGACGTGCAGAAATAAAATGTATAATCTGAATAAGAAATACAATCGGATAAAACTACAGGTAGGACTGCACGAAATGATTGAGAATTAATATCAATTTTTTTTACCGTAGAAATCGAATTCGTGTAAACCGCTGTTTATATTTCATTTTCAGCAAGATAAATTAATATTTATATTTCTCTTTCTTTCCAATATGTATATATTAAAAATATTATTATATTGTGTCAATGTCATATCGAGTATTCTCACGAAGCAAATCTTTTACGAACGCATTATCAGCATTAGTAATAATAGTTTTGTGATCGTGGCATACATTTATTAAACAAATTGATTTCTTCAGTATGCATCGCGGTAATGCATCCTTGACACAGTTGTTGACCTAATAATAGTACGCAAATAGATATATTCTTCTCATTGTGATGGAACTCCGATGTAAAAAATTGTGCGCGAGAAAATGTACTTTTCCTATAGAGAGAATTGAGAATAATTTCATTATTTTGACAAATGTTTTTTAATCATTATTCCGTTCTCTCTACCGCGCTAACTCGTATTTGCCGCTTTTTCCAATTTTTATTTGTAATAACATTCTCTCTTTCATTCTTTCCAAAAGAAATTGTAAATGCGATTAAGATGATGTCAAGTATCGAAGGATTTCGTCGTGAGAATCTCGTGGAATAGGCCCGTTACCGGTTTGAGGTCCGCCTAATCCTGCGTTTATTCCCAAGGGACGCGGTACCATTCAGAATAATAGTACAAAAATGCTTTGGACCGACGCGCAGAAAGAAGTTGAATGACCATTGTGAGGCTTGTATAACCACTTCAGTATGCGATGTTAGACGGGTGGCAAAGGACGAGAGTATATACGTACCTAACACGTACCTTATTTTGCACGGCGAAGGATGCGGCATGGCAATTGAAGACGAGATCGGCGATCTATTCACCGTGGGTTCGTCATTTCTGACACGTGCTTCAATTTCTGCGATGGTAAAAAAAAATAAGGCTATACTTTTGTAAACAGGAAGAAAGATCATACGTATCCTGTGCGTCATTCGCTGCGCAACCACCATCGTTCGGTTGTCCATCGCATTTAGCACGGTGCATTGAACAGCGAGGACATGTATTGCTCATTACGTGCACGTGTCGTTATGTATTGTATAACGTTGCTCCAAGCATCCAAACAGTCTCTTATTTTTCTACTGGGATTTCGAATTATTTTTGCGGCAATAGCGAGCGTTGTTAGAGTTCTATACACGACATAATCACTCGACATAAAGATACGAAACGTTATTAGAAGTAATTTAATATACACTGTGTGCGGCATAAATAAGCAGCGTCATTAGAATAAATTTTAATATAAAGTTACTAAATAGAGATTGTAAAACAATGCATGTGCAATATGAATAATATATCTCATTATTTTATTTATTGTAAGGTTACAAGAATTTAAAATAAATTCTCTAATCTTGTATTAAAATATATATACATCTCCAAAAATATATTTTCTCCGAATATATATTTTTGAAAATGTATATATGATATATGATATAATATATATATATACATATATAATTATTTATAAATAATATGTGTGATGACTGCGATGAGACTCGCACTTATCGATACATTTCTTCATTAGTACTTGAATTGGGTTGTCCGAACTGATTTGTAGGCGGAAAATTATCTTCAAGGTTTACGTGATATTATGCAAGCACTGCTCGTGACATTGGCGCACCATAATCGGCGAAAAGAAAGATAGGCGATATATCGGATTTCCGGACGGCTCAACGTTCAATACTCGAAGAAGCATAACTAAGCGGATTTTCTGAAATACTTTTTGAAATACGTCCCTAAACACATTTTACGTTCCAACTGAAAGTTTCAACAAATATATACGTACGTCTCTACGCGAAGATCGAAGGTTTTTACACTCGGCGCAGAATCAAGGGACAACGTTTACGAGGGTTGCTTATACTGTGTCGTGCATCTGACACGGTTATGAGTGTGCCGACCAATGTTATGTTCGATGCAAATCAGGTAAACGATGATATACGGAGCGGGCGGCGGATAGTGAAGAACAAGGTCGAAAGGTTACGCGACCGCGGTTACGTAACTCGGTGTTACTATAGAGTTAAAGTTATTACTAACTGACCTGCCTCTATGTACATACGTATATTATACTATGTGCACGTTACGTGTACATATATACAGTTCGGGCAGATTCCGTGAAACATTTTGTCTCCTCTAGAGTAACTATATAACGTGCCGAATGACGTCACGGACGTGATCGCGACCTTTATAGTCACCGACATCGCGAGCTTGCCAAGAATCCGATCGGATTCCGAAGAATCTTGCCAAGAGAAAATAAAGGGCAAAATATCTTTCCAAAATGATCAAATTTTAAATACACGCGAAACACGTACAAAGACTTTTGCGATAAATATAGGAAATAGTCGAGAGGGAAAAACCAGGTTTATTTTGTCCTGCCTTCGATTAATTTCGAGATACGTGGACTTGAGTTTGTCAAGGATTTCTGCTAAGCAATTATCTCAGAGAAAATTGCTTTTTTTTCGTCGATCGGCGGATGAAGTGGATGAAGATTAAGATGTTGCTGGATGCTCGGGAAAGATGCCCGGTCACGAGCTCGAGGATGCTGTGGAAGCTTTTCGATCGAAGCGATTACGACGGAAACGGGGACGCGTGGGAAGCTGCGCGGCCGCTGAATGTGTCTCTACTATCCCTTAGTGGAACAACAATCCGATCGATGAGCCGGTTTGTCAATTTTGAACTACCCTCGTTATCCCCTCCCCCAGAAGAGACGCGCGAAGTTCAAACGAGCCGTATCGAAAACGCGCGTCATTGAAGCGTAAGCGACGAGCGAAAAACATTTTCATCAGCTTGGAGTGCCAAAAGATCAATAGGAGAATATGCACACAAAACAATTAGCGAATTAGTTTCGATGAAAGGCTTATGACGCAGATTAACGTAAGATATTAAGCGGGTTTATCTCTAATTCATATTGGCGCTCGTCATTCCTCAGTGACCTTCGTTCGAGAAAAGATTATTAAACGATTATTAAACGAGATTATCGTGCAAATTGTTAACAATTGATAAAAATTGATTGGGGTTAATAATTTTCAAAATGGTTTTTTCTCTCCATCAATTTCGATGCGCGCAATTAAATGTATATAAAATCGCATTATATCGGTAATACCTGAAATTCAAGTGTTCGGTGAGAAAGAGAAAAAAAATCGCGTTTCGGTGACTCAAATATTTCCACCCCGTTTCATGCAAACCGTTACCTCTTGTGCTCTATAATATAATAAGATAACAACGCTCGCGCTACCCGGCTCTTCACCGTTTAAAAGGGGTCGGTCTGCCGGCGTATGCGCGTACGTACACAATTATACCGCGGCCAATCGGGGGACCGGACCACCGGTAGAACGAACCTTCGTCGTATTGTACAGACGTCGATGTCGCTCCAGAGGTTCCCGTTCCGTAGGTCCGCTCCCTCGCGCACATCGTCGCGCACTAGCGTAGCGTCGGCTCAGTCCGATATCGACGTTCGTACGAGGCGCATACTCACCGAGCCCCGCGACCACGCACGGTGTGAAATTTTACGCGGGCTCCTGCCTTGTCCGCGTCTTCTCGCATTACCTGCTGACGGAACGGAAGAGCTATAGAGCAACGAAGCACTAAACGAGGGGAAGCGGATACTGGCACGACACGGCGGTGGTGTGAGGAGAGTGTGGTATACATGGGTACCAAACGCCTCGGAAGTCTCGCTCTTCAACGACACCCGCGTGTCCGCAACGACGTCAGTCCGACCCGTCCGAAGATCACCGAGTATAAATAGTAAAATTTTGCCGATAATAAATTTTCTGAAACCAAATCTGTAACAACGATAACGACGACGACGACGACGGAGACGGAAACGGCGGTGGAGGTGGCGACGGCGACGGCGACGGCGACGACGACGACGACGACGACGACGACGAGAGGCGTAACGCTGACGTCGGCGACCACGTCTTCCTCGCGCGCAGAGTCGGGCCGAGGGAGATCAGCTATAATGATTCTGGGCTCGTGACTTCCAACGACATCGATCCGGCAGCGACTTAAAGGAAATCCGACTGATGAAACGAGTAGGAAGCACGAAGATTGCTGACGCTGACTTCGACCGAAGCTGAAGAGGCCACTCGTTCAAGGGCTGACGAGACGAGAACACCCTCTGTGAAAAATCGAGCTACTTTACTCCAAAACATCGTGTCGCCGTTGCTCCGAGAAGCTCCCAGAAATTAGAGAGTCTCGTCCCTCTTTCTTTCATCCTTTTCTCTCTGTCTTTCTCTCTCTCTCTCTCTCTCTCTCTCTGTCTTCTTTCTCCGTCTCTCTTTCTCGCTCTTTTTTCTCCTTCTCTCTAACGCTCTCCCTCATTTCGGTATCTCGCTTCCGCGCGGAGGATCGATCGATATTTCGTCCCGACAGCGGCTATTAACGACACGCGTACTTTCATTCGCTCCCTCTCTCACCCCGTTTTTCACGCTACGATTGCTTCCAAACGTAAAAAAACGTTAGGTGCGCCGCGATCCCCTCGCGACACGCTGCTGATCGTTTCTTCCTATCAATGTCAAATAAGCGCGTACTGAAAACCCGCGTCATCCCTCAAACCCCGTCGACCGTCAATATCCTTCGACAGGCGGGAGGACTGTAGCACGTGACCCACGGATTCCCTCGTAACGTCGCGTCAGCCGGCGCTCGATTTTTATCGGGTCACCTACGTGCCACCCACTCGGTTTCGCGAATAGGTCCTAGCCTATCCTATGACGTATCCTTCCTTGTACCTCGCACCTTTGCCATCCTGCCGCAGCCCGTTCCGCGTACGCGGCCGCGTATGCGTCCACAAACAGTCAATAAGAAGTACCATCGGGACACACACGTATCAGAAAGGGACGAACTCGGATAAGAGACCATTCCTTACGTCATAGAGGAGGAGTGTAATATATTTAAGAAAAAAAAAAATTGTTACCGATTACTTTTCGCGGAGGGAAAAGCCCGATCTCGGTATTTTTTTTCGGACGCGATAGTGCGGGCGCTGTTGAATTACGAAATAGAATAGTGAAGAGATAACTACTGTTGCTGCTATTGTTGTTATTGTTATTAACGTTATTGTTATCCCCGTTATTGCTATACGTAACCGCCCGCTCGTCCGCTTGTCCGCTGAAATCGACGAACAGCGCGGCGGTGGTAGAGTGATATAGTGGTATCGGTATAAGGAGTTCGCGAAGCTCGCGCGAAGGTACACGTGTTTCTGCCAAATCATATCGATAATTGACAGGGAAGGAGATTCGGGTGTGTTCGTGTGTTGTGTGCATATGTGCGTACGTGTGTGTGCACGAGAAAAAGGAAATTATCGGACGCAGGCAGGAAGTGGAGAGGAGAAGTGGTACCGCGCGGAAGTCGCGCCGGTGCGAGCTTGGCAAACAAACAAACACGAAGAGTGTATTAAAGATCTCAATTAAGTTACACCATCTCGCCGGGAGGAGCGGTCGATTCCTTTGTGTACACCCATCGAGGACCCCACGGGAGAATGGTAGCCGAGACCGGAAGAAATGGGCACGAGCTGGCTCCCTTGAACAACCACCGCCAACCCGTCCATCACAATGTGACGATCGTGGCGACGGGAAGTCAAAATGTTGGCCAGGATACGAAGGAGGACAACAGGGCGGCATGGAGCGGGAAGATGCAATTCTTTCTCAGTATTATCGGATACAGCGTCGGCCTGGGCAATATCTGGAGGTTTCCTTATCTGTGCCAACAGAACGGAGGTGGTGAGTGTCAGTAGGGCCGGGCGCGCAGATATAAGGGTGTAAAATTACCAGCGTTAAATGTATACGATAAAATTCGAACCAATTTGTTTATAAATGTAGAGCATGGATATATATATATATATATAATTTTAACGTATATCATCCGCTTGGTGTGTGTTACCGGTAAGCTGTGTGTGTTTTTATTTTTACGACCTTCGTGCAGCAGGCGGCACCTCGGGGTGTTCTTGAACCATGTGCGTGTCGACGGGTATCTAGGTAAACTCCACTTTCTCATGTGTATATACGCGCACATCTATAATGTCTACATGTATTACAGAGATATACATATCTCTCATGCAGCAACCACGTTGATGCAGCGCGTCAAGCTGCAGCGCGTTTTTTTTTCACGTATAAACGCTGTAAAATACAGCGACAGTGTCTATACCGCTTGCAAGATTATATTTGCCTAAGAAAAGCATTGATGATAAATATAGTATCGAAAATGTTATCGTAATGAAATTACGAATTCTGTGAAATTAGAAGGTTGTTAAATTTCTGCATACACGTTAATAAGATCGAAATCTTGAGAATTAATCGTCGTTAATAAGATCAAAATTGTTGAGAATTTTATGTCATACTTGTCTAATATAGATTTTCTTTTCGATCGTTTACTTACCTTCCGAGAAGACTATACGATACGCGGAAAAAAATTTGAATAATGCGTCAGGTTTCCGAAAAGTGCATAAAATTTGTTTATTCGAATTATTTACATCGGGCTACTTGATATATACGACAGGTGTTGACGCACGTCAAACGTATGTATGCCGTAAAGTTGCATGCGGCAATTGGAAATAGTTTTTGCAACTTACGGCCGTCATCGGTCTCGACCGATGTCGGATGTAAAGCGAAAAAGAGCAAGGACAAGGCTGCTCGATATGAGGGCAGTGGAGCCGGCATAAGCGCATGGCTATACTAGTCAACGACTATTTTCAGGTATCCCACAGTTCCACCGCCGAGGTTAAATATAACTGCGACGAAATATTTCGCGTGCTCCCGCGTCCTTAGAGACGCATTTTCCTATCGATCAATTTCAGGGACGTTATAATATTACGCGCCCGGCAGATATTACAAAACTTTCGTAATAAATCGCGCTTACTATCGAATCAGCTGAAGATACCATTTCTCTCTTTCGCTCATCTTTTTTCATTTTTCTTCGGAGTTTTCATTTAATATACTGATATACACAATAAAGCACTTACTGGCACCCCCCCCCCCGCGGCAAACTGAAAAATTAATTTAGTATACCGAATCTCTCAAGTTTTGCGGTGTTATAACTCACGACGAATGGTTTAACCGCGCCCGCGACTCATTCAAGTTTCATTAACTCTTCAGTTCCGTTCGAATTTATTTGACCCAGTTCTATTTTTAAAACACGGTACCTCTAAATGGCGTTGAGATTCAAATATTTTTTACTTTTACTCTCCACCGGTGTTTTATTTTTACAAACAAATATCGTGTATCAAGTCGTCTTCTTATTGTGATAAATTATTTTCTTCTAACAGATTTTTGTAATAAGTCGTGACTTCGCTTTAATTAGCCGTTCCTCGATTATTCTACGTTTAATCGAGAGACGACGGCGAGGGCATTTGCTTTACGTCGCTAGCGTATCATCTTTTTATTAAAAGCACTTTTTTGCGTGGTAACGTAGCGATATATGTACCTATAATGAAAGGTATACTCGCGCAAGAGTCTATAGACTCTTCGTCGCCACATAAAAGTGGAAGTTAATCAATCTTCTCGAGAGGAAACATGAGCGTTGCATTTATAATCACATCGTTTTACGTATGTTGTAAAAAAAAAATGCGTTACAGAAATATTAGAAATCCGTGTAATTTGGATATATTATATCAATATTCGATGCGTTAGAAATATCGCGACAAATGAAATAAAATAATACCGAGTCGACACGCGAAGGAAACATATGTTATTCATCGAGATAAAGTTTGTTCAAGGTTTCACCTGATTTAATTCAACGTAACGTCGAAGGGTCGACCAAATGCAAATACCATAGATATAAAGTATCAATAATGTAGCGTTCTGTTTAGTGAAATATGAGTGAGGCGTATATGTGCGACATCGTAACGCTGCAAATTAACGAGGGAAAATTCAAACAGATTTTACGCGGGGCGCGAATTTTTCGAGCGGAAAATACCGCGGCGCGCGTTAGAACCTGCAGTGTGTGAAATTTCACCCGTCTATCTTGAATTATTTTAAGCTCGCCATTTCGGCGGAGGCAGCCCTTCTTATCAATCACGCGGGCACACGGCTATTTAACATACGTCTATTTTCGCGGAGGTAGGTCACGAGAGAGGTGCACGAGGGTGGGCCCTCGCGTGATTATGACGCCGGAGTTTATGCACGCCGAAATCATATCGGTTACTATCCGACAACTGCGCAGATCGAGTTTCCAATTACCAGATTATCGTGCCGCTCTAACGTCTCTACCTCGGTTTCGCCGGTAGGGTAATACCTTCGCCCGAAAGTACCAGGCACCCCACTTGCGAGCGAGATCCCGAATTAAATAGCGCCGTGATTTCGCCCGGATTCAATTTCGGACGCTGATATAGATAACACGCGATACCGGTCGTAGATCTATATTCTTCGAAAGGCGATTATAGATTTGAGACGAGAGAAATCCAAAGGCTTCTACTTACTCTTTTTTTTTGGAGTGAAATTTCACTCTAAAGAGTGAAAATACTGCCACTCAAGTAGCCGAGTGACAATATTTTCGCTCTTTTGGAGTGAGATTTCACTCTTTTGGAGTGAGATTCACTCTAGAAAATTTAGAGAGTACAACTACTTGGATTAATTGTTTTGTTATATATAATTAAAAAACCGTTTGCTAAATTTATAAATCTGCCGAACCTCGTTAATTGCTGATTGACGTTTAATTGTTACACCGGCGCAGCCACTGACGCAAAAAATTACGCAAGACCACTGTCGATTGAATTTCACGATTTTCAGCCGCACGTGGATTACGCACGTCTTTAGGCTAAACGAGCCGGAGGCTCGGCTTTCAATGGAAATTTCCTCGTTGCGCCTCGTAACGCGTCCGCGTCCGCGTCCGCGTCGCCGAACGCCCATCAATCGATCCATACTACTGTGTGTATAACAGAAAACACGCGACCGCCTAACATCTGCCGCTGTGGTTCGCGGCTCTATATAACGTAATAGCGCGGCTTTAAACACAGAGAGCTTGGGTTACGGGCCATTTAGGTGTTAAACGACGCGTCAATTACCGCAACATCGTGTTATTAGAAAGCTCCTGTGAGGACCTGCGTGTCTGCGAATGCAATCGCGCACGATCGAAATCGATTATCCACTCCATTTCTTCGCACGTTTCAATTTCTTCGGAGCTGTTACTCATCAAATTTTCGCAACCTTTATTTCTGCCAATATAGTAGATAGTAAAGCAAATATATAACGTTAAAATTTAAGAGATTCCAATCAGAATATAGAATTAATCAGCTATACTGGACTTAAAAAACGTTACTGTTGCTGTACGCAACTGCATTGCTTGTACGCATCTCTTAACGTTCTCCAACCCGCGATTTTAGAGTTCTAATTTGTATATGAATACCAAAAAAGTCGCCGAGTGTGGTAGAGTGGCTGAACGGGTTAGGACTTAGGTTACACGATCAATACAAGGCGCTCCAGCTCTCTGTATACGACCGCGAAACTAGACATCTATAAAGGCAAAGGGAGAGAAGACCTAGTTAGGGGCCGGGAACGCAAAAAAACGGATGAGATGATATTGTGACGTAGAAAATAATTGAAACGAAAATATCTGTATTTAACTCAATTAATAGGCAAACTAAGAGACGTGCAATCAAAAAATTACGATTTGATTAAAAAAATTATATTTATATACAAATATTAAATTACAGAATTTCCGGTGAAATTTTGATATCAGGTGTCTGTATAACGCCAAAAACCTGCGAATGTTTTAGGTGCCTTCCTCATTCCTTTTTTCGTGATGCTCATCCTGGAGGGTGTACCCCTCTTCCTGATCGAGCTGGGTCTCGGACAACGTATGCGGCAGGGTGCCCTGGGCGTTTGGAACACAATACACCCTTGGCTAGGCGGCATAGGGATCGCGTCGTGTATAGTGACGTTTTTCGTTGCGCTTTACTACAACGTAATTATTACCTGGTGCGTCTACTACCTCTTCAACTCGCTCGAGGTAAGCAGATCGATAAGGTTCGTAGCACCGCGATTGACGCGACAGTAATCTACGTCGAGACGTCTTAAGTGACTCCCTTCTCCGCTATTCCGCAGTTTAGACTTAAATAGTTAATGAAAGACGTTGCTTATATGAAGTGTTTAAAACTGCCAGTACTTCCAATAAAAATTACATCTCTATTAAAGGTACTATAGAGACTCAACCATAAAAAAAAAATTGCAAAGGAGAAAAATTAAGAAATTTTTTAGCAAAAATTAAAAAGATTTTAGTATTTAATATTTACTAATTAAAATTTTTTATAAGCGATATTTAAATGATTATATAGCAATAATCAAAATGTACAGAATATTACATTTAAATATAGTTTAATGGCGTCCTCGTAAATATATGCTAAACTGGAGATCAAACCTCAAAACACTACTCGCTGTTTTATGATTTATGCATATGCCTGTGATATTGATATTGTGTATAATAATCGATGTGTTTATTACCACATCAATATTGCACATATCGTAACGATTTTTTAAGCAATAAAAACTTTTATATTAAGGTTTTTAACTCATATCTAAAAGCACAGTACTGTTCTTTTATGTTACCCTTAGTCTAAACTAAAATTGTTTTACACGTACAAAGTGTAAAACTTTTATACAAAGCATTTTTACGAGTTGATGCTAGAAGCCGATAACAAAACTGTAATTTTTCACCTTTTTTTCGTTTTTGGCATAAAGTCGTTTGGGTTACATTATCATTTATACTATACAAAATTGTAGGAAAGAATTTTAAAATCTGTAAAGGCAGTTAGAAAAATACTTGTTAAAAAAAATAATCGATGCATTTAATCGAAGCATTCGATAAAATAGACGACCTTATAGGATTCCCTTAATATTTTCCGTAATTTTGTCAACTATTAATGATATATTATATATCTTTTTTTTTTGTTCATGTTTCAGGCTGTCACGATCAAATTTGGCGTAAGTATGTCAATTTTTTGTAAATAATTAGCAATTTTGCATTGTATCGTTACAGTAGAGACATTATTATACATAAATTGCATGAGGGAGCTATAATATGTAAATCTCGTCACACAATGTCGCTCTCTCAATTCAGCGCTCAAAGTGCAGCTTCGGCTTTTGAGCTTTTACAACGCAATAACAGTGTGCCCGTTAAAGCCTGTATATTGAACATCTATTTGTATATTCTGACGCAATTTAGGAATCACTGCCGTGGGCAAGATGCCCGGAATTGGACGGGAAACCGGTGGAGGAATGTGTCAGGAGTTCGGAGACCGCGTATTTTTGGTACAGGACGACTTTGGACGCGGCACCGTCCATCGATGACGGCCAAGGTCTCAAATGGTGGATCGTACTCTGCCTCTTGCTCAGCTGGATCGTTGTGTTTTTCATCGTCATGAAGGGAATACAGTCGTCCGGCAAAGTAAGCTCAAGATAGATCAAAATCGATTTCTTCGATATACGTCCGTATTATCTAATATTAGAATTAATTGAAGAGATTGCCATTCTTCCGTTATTCAACGAACCGTCCTTTCTTCCAGGTGGTATACTTCACGTCCATGTTCCCATATCTCGTGCTGACCATCTTTTTCATCCGCGGAATAACGTTGAAGGGTGCGAGCGCCGGGCTGGCGCACATGTACACGCCAAAGGTGACGATCGATTCCGATCCGCGGTTGACCTTATTGAAGAAAAAACATTGCGAGCGAGCGAAACGCCGGGCGTTTAGATGTGACATTTGCTTTACCTTTTTTTTTCCGTTCAAGGTCGAGAAATTGTTGGAACCCATGGTCTGGCTTGACGCGGCGACCCAGGTCTTCTATAGCTTCGGGTTGGCGTTCGGCTCCCTGATCGCGTTCGGCAGCTACAATACGCCCAACAACAACTGCGTGAGGGACGTGATCCTGGTGAGCGTGTGCAACGCGTTTACTGCCATTTACGCGAGCGTTGTCATTTTCGCCATTTTGGGGTTCAAGGCAATGTCAAACGTGGACAAGTGCGTCGTCAGGTAATGCGACCGCAAGCGCGGCCATCGTTTCTAAAATCGCCAACGCGAGGAGGGTAGTGAGAAAAGAATCGTCCACGGCTGCGGAGATATGTCTTTAAACGACCATATGACAGCTGTTGCCACTTGTTCGGGATAGAAGACACGCGTGTCGACGCTTTTTTACAATTGTATTATATTATCAATGCATAGTAATAACGCATGTCGGCAGAGGTCTTAATTAAATTAAATTGTATAAAAGAGAAAGTTACATTAATAACGTATAGCACTTTGTGTTAATAATACTTGAAATTGAACTGCAAAAATCGATCGCATTATTAATGTACACTTAATAGCCGCGGTTTAATTTAATTAGACTGCAAGTGTCAGACGTGTCGATGATTCAGCATTTAGAAACGGGAGGGATCGAGTCACAAACGGGACGGGATGGGATATACTGATCGTTGACGAAGAACAGGGGGACACAGAAGATATGTTAAATCGTTTTTATTTTAGCGCGAGTGACATCCTGATACAGCATGGGTTGTTGGCTAATTCGACCCCGTTCAAGGATCTCGAGGACTACGAACACTTTATAAGTTCCTCCGCCTACAACTCCTCCGCTCTCGCCATAAAAGAGTGTAGTCTCAGCAAGGAATTGGACAACGTGAGCGATGATACTCCAACTTACGAATTACGTTAGGCGTCGTACGCTCATGAAATAATTAATTAATGTGATAATCCTTTTCGCACATAGGCCGCCGAGGGCACCGGACTGGCTTTCATCATATTCACGCAGGCGATCGTCGAATTGCCGGGCGCGCCGTTTTGGTCTTGCATCTTCTTCATGATGCTCCTCGCCCTCGGTCTGGGCTCGCAAATCGGACTACTCGAGGGTATGCTCTGCGTAATCTTCGACATTGATCTCTTCAAGAGAATAAAGAAGCAATACATGACAGGTGAGCGCGATTCGTCGATCTGTCGTCAAAGAAAAATCCACTGGTAAAAACATATCCGTTTTAATCGAGTCACTTGCGACTGCAGGAGTTGTCTGCGTCATATGCTTTTTCATGGGGCTCATCTTCTGTACCGGCGCTGGGGAATACTGGCTGAAGATGTTTGACAGCTTCGCCGGCACTATCGGGCTCGTTATAGTCGCCCTGATGGAAATGCTCTCCGTGATCTGCGTGTACGGCCACGAAAAGTAAGTCGAGCGTTCCGTGATTTGGGGCTCTCCTCTTTCCAAGTGAAGAAGTGAAATCGATTAACGGGATTAATCGCGCGAATGTATCTGTGCAGATTTACGAAGGACATCGAAGAGATGACCGGATATAAACCTGGACCTTACTGGCAAATCACGTGGCGATTTCTCGCTCCTGTAATAATGGTCGGCATCCTTCTGTGTAGCGTCATTTCCATGTTCATCAAGAAACCGCAATACTCGGCATGGAATGCGACAACGGTGAGATTATGCACTAAATTATATAATCAAAAGGTTTTAAGCAGAATGACTGACGATGAGTTATAAACTCAACAAGTTTTATAACATAAATCTTTGTCTATATATAGGAACGCACGATAACTATTTTGTATCTCAACTCTTAAAATTAAAAATCTTTAATTTTGGACGTACGGAAATATGGACATTTAACGTGACATTTTTACTATTATATGACTGACTTTTATATATTTTATATTGTGACCATAATTGATAAAGAGCGCCTATATATTTGTTATTGTTGACATTGCGAGTCTTGGGATGATGCTATCCGGAAACCTCACCCACTTGTTACGTTACTCGTTACGACTGCGTTCAAGTTTGACTCTCCTATCAAACCTGACTGAGATTTTTAATATTGAAGATGGCCCCAAGTCTAGGCCGAAACGTCTAAATATATATATTGCAATGGTTTATTGATATTAATTTATCTTTTTTACAAAATACTGCGCAATAATTACTTCGCCGATTCCCACTAGCCGAAGATATTTCAAATGTTGATTAAATCTAGAAATCTTTTGATTAATTGTTTATTATTAATTTTTTATTTGTTAATTTACCTAATCTAATGTAATCTTATGTTTTTTCTAAGAATGGTAAAATAACACATATATTTTTTTATAATTAAAATAAGTGTAATATGTAATTAATTAGTAATTACAAACTATAATAACAAAAGTATTATATTAGTAATGATACCTAATTTTATTTTTATGCATATAACAAAGGTATAGTTTTAGGTAATAGTAAATAATGTCCATGTTAATTAATATTTGTGTATGCTTTTTACTTGGAATTAATTTACCTAAATCTATCTACTTTGGACTAATTCAATTTTAATCATAAAAGCAAAATATAATTGTTACCTTACCATTTTTAGGAATGAGATAAGGATTAGACTAGATTAAGCGAATTAACAACAAGTTAAAAGTTAATATTAATTAACGTTAATATTATTTATTATTACATATCTTTATTATGACGTTACATACCTTTATTATACGTATAACTTTATTGTATTGTTAAAATAAATGTGGTTAGTAATACTTTTGTTACTACATAGTAGTTTTTACGAGTTACAAGCAGAATCGCTTTTTAATTTAAGACTTGAGACACAAAACAGTTTTTGTGCGTTATTAAAGATAATGACTTTAAGTCATAAATAAAACAAATCTTAAGATTTTAAGCCATTTCATTCTGCCATTCTGCTTAGGGACCAGATATATACATAATCTTTTATACAATTTTATCTTTTGTATAATCGTATCGTTATTATTTTAATTCATAATATTTCCGTTCTGCTTTCAGGGTGAGACAGTGCCCACGAGTTATCCTGGCTGGGTGCTGGGCATCGCCGTCGTCATCATTCTCGCGGGTATCGCTCCGATTCCGATCGTTTTCCTTTTACGTCGGTTCCAATTGGTGAAACTCGACGTGGACATACATCAAGGCAGTATTCGACGTATCGATACCACTGTTTCTACCAAGGAGATGATGGGCGACGTTGATGTGAGTAGCACAGCTTGTCGGTTGCGATCGTAACCCATATATAATTTATACGTAGAAACCCAATGGGTTACTTTGAAAGTTTGTGTAGCAAATGGAAGTTCACGCGGAGGAAAATACCGTCCGCGAAAGTAACGTTTTGTGGCTTGTGATGGAATGTGTGTAAAGTTCGCGACGACAGACGGTCCATTGGACGACTCGAAGATAAACGAACGCACGTTACCTCTTCCCCTTTTCAGCTAATTGTTTAGTATAAGATGAGTAGCGTTATTCCTTCCCCCAAAATAATTGTTTCGTAACCAAGTAGCGTACTGTACCTCTCCCGAGACACAGTCCGTTCGAACGGAGTATAGCTTAATTAACGCACCACGGGCTAACGTATTATATGTCATGCCGTTTGATCAGCAGCGTGGCCTTGCGCGAATAAAAAAAAAACAGACGCGTAAAACACGCGATGTTGCTTATGTCAATTCTTCCAAGTTGTTGCGCAAGCCGTTCCTCATGGTGAGCCAATTAAGCGTGCGTACGTGACGTCACTTTAGGTCACTCACAATTGAACGTACAATCTGCAGTTGTAGATAAGCATCCATTCTGTCTGTGGTAACGTCGATTACTCGACACCTCCGTAACTACCCGTTACACGTGAGTTCGCAGTATAGCAATTTTTGAGAATGCATCCTCTCTGAATGTTACTCCTAGTGCATTCATCCCGTGTCACACGTGTAGCACGTGTCAGCGTACAGGCATGTCATCGTGTTTCTAGTTTCTGTCTCCTTCTGACTTTCCATCTCCCCCTTTTTACCGCGATAAATTGTCTCATCCAGTCTCCTGATTTTCTATCTCCCCCTTTTATACGATAAATCGTACTCATCCAGTTTGAAAATCGCGATTAATTTAAACTGCACGATTTAATAAATTAAAGAATGCCGACTCTTTTAAATAAATCTAATACGCTCCTCGCGACAAAATATATCATCATCCATCATCCACAGAATGCATGATTAGATTCCAAAGTAAAGTAAGATGGACAAACTTTCAAAAAATAAAAGAAATACAATAATATTAAAATCTTTGCCGGAATTATTTTTCACAAAAACAATTTACGCTAATATAAAATATTTTAAATTTAAAATACGTCTGTTTATATATTTTTCAATTTACGTCAAATATATCGTATTTAATATAGCCTCATCTTATATTTTCAAATCAATGAAATTTATGATCGACACAGAAATTAATACAAATTAATTCTGCAAATTGCACAGTAGAGAAATAATTGTGGTTAACTAAATCCTAGTTAACTGAAAGAAACGTATTTTGCCAAGCGTTCTGCAACAAATTTCTTTGACAGAGAGGCAACAAATGTGATGCGCCATTCGTTAATTAAATTGATGTTTGCAAAATGGCAAGAGAAATGTAACAAAACTTGCTGCTTATAAAATCGCAGCAAATCTTGCGTCAAAAACCGTACAAGATTTGCTGACATGATCTAACAGCAAATAGATGGCAAAAACCGAAAAAGAATATCCACGGCACAATATGTCAGCAAATATCGAGCAAAAGCTTGCTTTACGTAACTCAATTATCTGACTTTTTTTTTAATATCACTAAATACCTTTAAATACAGCATTTAAATAAAGCATTTTTTTAGTTTTCATATATAATTAAATGATTTGAAAACCATTTATTTCAAGAAAAACATATACATATATAGTGTGAATCTCACGCTGCACCGAATCTGAAACTCCAAAGAATCGAGCGCAACACCTCATTTCAATTATAATATATTCATCATTTCAAATATAATTTAATATATTCCCACACAGGTATATTAAATTATAATTAATTTAAATTCTATATATTATATTATTAATTGTAATTATTATTATATATTAAATAATATGTTAATTTAGAAAAATTTATTTCAATAATAAATTGAACTATAGACCATGTAAGAGAATAACATTAAATTCGAAAAGCGGAAATATAAGACGACCATTTAAAGATATTTAAAGATACTTAAAGGTATTATTTAAATGGCTTAAATATATGTCTGATAATAATTGTCTGTGAATTACGCGAAAATGAGCTAAGTAATCATTGTGTAATCATTGTGTAATCAAATGCGCAAAAAAAAGTTTTGCTCAAGATTGTTGACGTCGTATTGTGCCATGCATATTTTTGCTCGGTTTTTGTCATCTGTTTGTTGTTAAATTATTCCAATAGAATTTGCACGGTTTTTGGCGCTATTTTGCTCTCATTTTATGAGCAGCAAGTTTTGCAAGCAAAACATCAGCATAATGACGAGGACACAGATGGCATCGATTTTGATATAAAATTCTGATTAAATTTTCTGCCAATTTGCAAGCTATCATTTTGCTATTAGGGACATATTTATATAAGTCAAATTATTGCTATAAAAAATTATGAAATATAAACACTTCATGAATGCAATAAATCAGCATGCTTGCTTTTGGTAAGTATGTGTCCCGTCCCGAAATTTGATTCAGTTAGCATGTCAAACATGACAGTCCACAATTCCCATCAGGATTCACGTTATGCTTCACCAGGAATGAAGCTTCACCAGAAACGCTCGTGTATGTATAGGACAGTACAATTGATCGGTTGAGAATTGTAAGTGGTCTGTCAACTATTAAATTATGCATTTATACAGATCGCGTTCTAAAGTCCTTGTTCAGCTAGTCTTTTCATCATGCGGAAATAAGAAAGCAAACAGCTTAGAAGTTAGAAGCTATTTACGATTCCTCGATCGAGTGAGTTAAAAGTTTATAACTCTTGGGAATCGGAAGCTCATAAATAGCTTCTGTTTAGAGGCACGTGCTATTTGTTTTTTTTATTCTTATGTGGTGATGAATGCGGAAGCTGAACAGAAGTTTATGCAAAATCTAGATAACTTATGATACTGAACCTTTCGATTTTTGGCAAGGCCTTATACGATCTTGGTGATTGAAATTGAAACAGCTCCTCTTTTTACATGCGGTTTTCAGATTTGAATAGATAATTCTTACTACTTGCAAGTCTGCAAACTGCGATTAAAAAGAGTAATTATTTTCACGCTGTACTTTTATTTCAAAAGTCAAGATTGCGGCCTCTAAATCTCTTAGCTGATTTAATTCACAGTTTAATAAATATATATGTAACATGTTATGAATTTTCTAATTTTCAGCTCGACGAATATCACGATCGACTCGAAGACTTCCCGGAAGAAGACGAGGACATTAATAGCGATGATGATACGAATGCCGCACCGTCTATGAATAAAATGGCTAACAAAGCGATGAAGGGTAGGGCTTTTAAAATGGAAGTGATGAACTTTTAAAAACAGCATAATCAGCGAGACCTCTTTCGGTTGTTCACGAGCAGTAAACGGTGATGTCAGATTATACATATATAACGACCTAAATTGGTTTAATTACGATCAGAATTTGTGGTGTAAATTTATTCTCTGTATTATTACATAAGGTATATCCATGCATAAACAAAATATTTATTTTGTTTTAGAGTTATTAATTAACAGAAAATTAGATCTTAAGAAAGAATATACCCAGATAGCCAAACTTGCCAAGAGCACGTATTATAAATGTGTTGCATATTATGTTAGTAGAATTATAGCCAAGCATAATTTGCTGTTTTCATTGTTTAATAAAAATGTATTGGAAAACAAGCAGGTCTTTCATCATAACATGCTAGAAAAAATGCTATAAAAATTCAATAGAAATTGCTGGCATTAAAAGAACAAAATTTGAGCATTTACGTATTAGCATAGTACAGCAGCAAAAAGTAAGTACATAAACTGAAATTGAGAATGACATTAACACCAAGACGTGTTAGCAGATTGTTATTAGAAACCAAGCTTACTTGCAAGCAAATCGTAACAGCAGAAACGTAGCAGAAATCGTGCTGTTGTCTGAAGTAATAAAAAAAATATGGCAGAAACGTATAGCACGATTTGTTATCATAAAATAAAGTTACGTCGTGACAGCACATTGTGCATGATTTCTGTTATATTTCTGCCGCTAGTATCTAACATGTCAGGTTGTATTTTTGCCATATTTTTGATATAACTTTGCGAAAGTACATCGTGCATGATTTCTGCTGTGTTTCTGTGCTCTACAATCGTGATTGAATTTACCGGGATACTGCTGGCATACTGCTAGCATTTTGTTGTCTGGGTATATATAAAATATTATACTTTATACACATATATGTATATACATATATATATTTATGTTTATAATTATATATAAATTCGTTATATATATATATATATATATATATAAATAATCTTACCATGATTTTTGATCATTTCTGATTTGAAAGATTGTAGATTTGAAGAATTTATTTACACCAATTCTGAAATATCAAATTTTATTTTAAATCTTTACATTTGACGTAAAGATTTAAAAAAAATTAGTCCTTATATATCTATAATTATCGATATCTCAGGACGCTGTGCGTCTTTAAAATCGAATATATTGAGCAAATGGACAACAAATGAACAGCGAGCACTCGAAGTTATTTAAAACTCTTTCTAATGTATCCCGATAACGAGCGAGTCGCATCGAACGCGAATCGAACGCTAATAATAATGTACCGCGTTCGAGGCGATAAAATTTCTAGAATTTAAAACGTGGGAAGATTCGCGTTCGCTTATTGTTCGCTTGCCCGAAAAGTAGGATGCGTCGATCGTTCGTCTCGTGTATATATATATATATATATATATACGTAAACCTTTGCGTTAAATGGATATAGGGTAAATCACGAATAATTCACCAATAAATCGAGCTCAATTTGTCGGATCGCGACGCCACTAAAAGCAATATGTAATACGGAAATACATTTTAGAGGTGTAGCGCAAAAGAACGACCAATTTGCGTCACGACGGTTCGGTGTTCAAGCTTTACCGTCGTTGTATCACACTTCCAGATAAAATCGCGAATCATCAGGTGGATTACGGCTAGACTATGTATAGCGGACTATAAAAAAAAAAGTAGCGAAGAGAATAGAACGTTCTGGCTTTTTAGTATCGCGTGATATGGAGACGATCGGACATGGGATCCTTGATTTCGTCCGTGTCAATTCGATTTTAATTAAACGCGATTTTTTTAAAAATAGATCAGTAGTTTTGATCTACGGAAGAGTGTGAGACGGTCGGAGAGACTAGACAATAAAATTCAACGGTAGTGTCGAATTGTTAGCCAAACGTAGCTGATTTGTTTACTGCTTTCTATATGGTCCCGGTGTAATATGTGTACTTTCGATTCCTCCGAGGTTCTACCTTCCGCATGTCACGAATTGATGAATTGATTACGCAGATCAGAATTGATCGATTTTGCTTCCAAAAATATTCCACAAAGAAATAGACGTTCAGGCACTAAATGAATTAATTTTCTTTAATTTAAATGGATTTCAGCAAGTTCACTTAGTAATTAGCATTAACAGAAAATTACCTTCTACTTTTAGAAGACGAAAAAGAGATGTGTTAATCTGTATTTATATTACATTACAAGCACATTTATAAGTGTATGATATGTGCTTACAATTAGACTTGAAAAACATAAACTTTTATACGTATGTATATAATACAATCTAAGAAAATACGTATATATTTTTACATATTTGATTAAAACAAAAAATTAATTATTTCTGTATCCCTCATAGAGAGAGAGAGATGGAAGGGAAACACGATCGATTGGATCTGCATTATCTAATAATTCTAATACGTTCGGCGTTCAGTTCGGCAAACGATTAAAAATGCATAAATAACGTTTTTATAATTGATAATTGATGGAATTGTATGTTGCGTAAGAAAGAGTAACTGTAACCCTACTGATTCTAAGTCGTCATAAAAATCATTTTTTATTTCTATACGCAGTTATCGTTAACTGCATGATATCTACCGGAAACTGCGGATTAATTTAACTACTGTATAGGAAATGTCAGAGATGACACCTCAGATTTCTTTAATGTTTTTAATTTTGCCAAGGAAAACGAAACGTCTTGTTAATTTTGCGCGGAGCCATTGTGACATTTCGATAAAATATTACCGGTGCAGGATATGCTGGTAGATTAAACTTGGCATTGTGTTGCATGAGAGATCCCTCGCGCTCATTTATAGAAATGATGCGCGCGGAAGCGCCTGACGCTCTATTGCGAAGATTGAACAGATTTTTCTTTCGGGAAGCCCCCTCTCGCGCGGGGCGCTCAGCATCGTTTGGCTGGTCCAGCTATTTTGGGTACGGAAATATTATATGCCGATTTTTCGCGCTATATAGGACGGATGATCAACGGTGTGGTCGCGGTATGCCAAACCCACCTTCCCCTCACTCCCTAAGTTTTCGTCCGTGAGATACAATGTGATGATACATATTGATGTAAAAACGCCGGTCGAATAACCGTAATGTCAATAATAGAGAAAATTACGGGAAAAAAATCGTCGCGTTCGCCATCGTCGTACAAAGGTATTCCCCTCGTATGTGTTTATATACGCGCAGGGATGCGATCCAAGCCACGCGGGAGAAACGCCACCCATTGATCATCCTCTGTCTCATTTATATTGTATATACTTTAAACTCCGATCGATTAATCGCACGAATCAGCTTGGCACGTACGCAGTACCGGGATTAATTCACCGCGACAGAAGGTCAAATTAGTGATTGGTACTGTGCGCGAGCGGGCGCGTCACCAGGCCTGCGCCGAGATTGCAACGGAGTTGATACTATAACGGAGTTGAGTGTATTATGTAAAATAGGAGCGATCGGGAGATCATTATATTAATGACATTACGAATTCGATGCGTAACGAATGCGTAACGCGTGTGTGCCATTTGTAAATAATAACTCGTGGCGTTACGCCACACAAATCGCATCTAAATTGATACCTCGTGAGATACCTATTTTTCGAATCGCTTAGAATATAGTGACGACGCATACATCCGTATATCTGTTTACTTTCTTCCCTATTTTCTAAAAGCATACTGTCCTCTTCGCGCACGAAGGACGCTAGCTTTACCTACTAGTTATATAGACATTTACGTTAGAACGGGACATAACTAGACCGTTGCGCAAATTATTCTTTTTTTCTACAAATATGAGTTGATAAGCGATAATTACCCATCGTTTCGAAAAAATTCGAGATAACGTCGGCTAAATGTAAAATAGGCGACGCAGTATTGCGAGTTTTTGTTAAACGCTATTATTCACATATTTACATTTTAAAGTCATATACCGTCCGTGGTCGTCCTGCATCATCCCAGATGTGAAAAGATTACATCGCGTTTGTATTATTAAGTTAATTTTATCATTAATTAATTTAATATATATCATAGCTTTGAACAGTTCGCGTTAAATATAAATAATGTATTTATTATTTTGAAGATCGAATCAAGTTTTTCTTTTTTTTCATCAATATAATCTATTATTTCTTTATTTTATTATGATCAGATCGCGAGAAGTATCAGATATCTAAAATTGTGATGACACATGATTAATTATTATTTAAATTTTATCTACATTATAATTAATTGTCGGAAGTGCCATTAATTTCATTGCAAACATGAATATTGCAAGAAAATTAGAAAATGCAGAAGAAACGATGTTACTTCTCCTCACTATAAAAGAACGTAATAAAATTAATTATTTCTATTTTGTTGAATTTCGATTAAATTTTCGTCATTCAGGAGAGATGGTTTTTATTCTTTCTACTGCTTCGCGAAAAATCGAGAAACTTTATTTTTAATTTTGCGAAACTGAAAAGTATTTTTGTTCACAATCACTATATTGCTTTGAATTTAAAAAATTAATTGTAATATTGATCATTAATCCAAAATATATAGAACATTTCAGATATATCATACTTGAATTTTATGTTTTAGCTCTCGTTTGCAGAATGAATAATTAATTACAATTGAAATTAATCTTAATACAATAATTTCTTAACTCCTATTTTTTTATGTTCCTAAATGTCTTAGAAAACTAATAAAAGTAATTACATTCAACATTAGGTTCAAGGGAACCATTCGAAACAGATCTAACAAACAAGTAAGAAATCTGTATTATGCATGCGTGCGTGCATGCGTGTGTGCATGAGAGAGAAAGAAAGAGAAAGATCCCTCATTACTAATTGTGTCAACTTCTTCCACGTTACTTGTTAAGGATTAAGGAGTATCTGCAATCATGCGACATTCCTTTTTCTTGAAACTCTCCGCGTATGTTTGTAAATTACAAATTATAAACAAAATCGTCCTCCCGACGATTTAACATTTCAAAGATTTAAATACGAAATGGACGAACTGTACAATCATTACATAACAAAATAATAAACTTTGTTAAGATAATCCCTGTAGAAATTTAATACTAAAAAAGGCCAAATAATTACTTCCCAGCAAACACCAAGCATGCAACTTGATCTTTGCTGCGTTATTTTGTTAAAAGTCCTAATAAACAGTGCTTTTAACAAAATAAGTATTAAATAATAATAATTTGGCCTCTTCAGTATTAAATGTCTGGAAGACAAGTCGAAAAAACCCGCAGATGTGTGCGGTTTCACGTTATCAACCGGTTGTTTAACTTTAAATACCGTTTTTGGCCTAGCTTCTTATCGGGCAAAATATTTTAAAAATGGCACCGTTAAACACAGAGAACACTCCTCTACCCGTTTCATTGTCAGTATACATTCGAATTTCGCTTAAGCCGTTTGTGTCCCGACACGCGCTCGGTAATTCCTCGAAGTGATATGTACATATAGTTATATAAAATGATATAATTAATGTTGAATAGTCCTGTCTTAGGTCGCTGAAATTCAGTTACGTGCACTCCTCGAAAAGAAAAAATGAGATTCCCTCTATATACCCAGCAAAATTTTCTTAAGTTACGTGTAAATATATTACGAGAGTTATACGCGCGAGTGTTATACCTTCGTTCGTTAGGTTCGTATACGTAATTGATAACTACTTTAGTGCGACAAGATCGATTTCGATAGTAAATGAGTACTTCCGTATATTGTATTTAACTATTTAATTGCTCGACACACTATGTACGATTTTTGATAGCGCGGGTGCTCAAATTGTAATTTGTCCTCGAACTTGAGCATCGTCGTAATACTTTTAGCGACTGATACTTTAAACATTTACTAGGACACAGTGTACACAAAATTCAAAGCGTTTAAATAAAAGCTTATTTATTGCCGAAAATTGCGTTGTGTTCTATTATCGTTAATGTTTTACATTCCTCTATACAGATGTGGAATTGCATTATACGATGTTACGTAAAAAGGCGTTCGCGTTTGAAATTCTAATACGTATTTTTTAAGGGATTCGCGATTCTACAAAAAGATTTTATTCGAGAGAAACATCCACGTGGACAATACAGAAGTCATAATATCATAAGGACGTCATCTCATAAATATTTATTTATCACTTATAAGTAACAAATAAAGTCATGAATATCATTTGAATTCCGCGTTCTACCTGGACGGTTACAAATTCGTAACGAAAAAGACTCATTTAAATATTATAAAATTTTTAAACCTCAAAGTTTTAATATTTATATATAAAGATTTGAAATTTATTGATATAACTGAACTCAATATTTCTTGATTTTAAGACCTCGACGATTGATTGACTATTTCGCGAACGTATACGTTTATACCTTATCGCACTCAACATTTCGGAATGGATTAGCGTGGCTTCGATGTGTAGGTATACAGATATTACGTATCTCAGTTATGCGATATATAGGTATACAGATATTTCGTATCTTTTCATTACATACATACAAATAGTAATCTTGATTATCGTCGCGATACCACTTTCGGTACGATAGTGTCGCTGTTTACGAGATATAATGCGATCATCGAGCCCTCCCACGTAACATACACGGCAAAATCTTATCTGTTACAGTGAATTACCGAGTCACATAACGTCAGCTATTTAGTAGAATGCACTGGAGTGCACGGTGCGCATCGAGTCTTACATCACGCGCGTAGCTCGTTTCTTTCATTTTTTTTTACGCCTTCCGACATGGCTGCTCGTCGGCGTAAAAACCACGATAGTACTTGTCACTCCGAGAGCCTAGATGGTAACGTTTTTAAAATGAATGACACTGGCGCGGTTCGCGCAAAAGTAACGGAAGATGATCGCGATGGCGACGACACGTCGCGAAGAGAATCGACGGAGTTTCTCGTCAAATATCGCGATCGCGTTTACAATATTTACAATTTCCTGAAAAATCATCCCGGGGGGAAAAACACGCTCATACGTTTCAAGGATCGCGCCATGGATGGCGAGTTAGCAAAATATCCTCATTCTAAGTCCGCCTACTATCTTCTCGAAGAATTCGCTCTGAAACACCAAGAGAGATACAACGAGTGCGAAGTGAGTAATTTATAAATGAGAAATAATGAACATTTATATTTATATTATTTATATTAAACAAAATTATTATATACGCGCACGTTGTATTATATATAATTTATAAATGAGAAGTAATGTGAACATTTATATTATTAAACAAAATTATTATATATACGCACGCTGTATTATATTATATTCGCACATCTGGATGTTAAAGATACTTTAAACAATCAGATTAATAATTTATAATTCGTACTGGATCTTTTTAGTAGATGCAGCTTTATAATTTTATGCGCGCGCCGCGCGTGCCGTGTGAATTAATCTGAATTGTTGAATATATTTTATATTCGATATGTATATATTCTGATTATTTAAATACATTTTTTTCTGTTATGTGCGTATAAAATAACAAATGTAATTCTATTTAAAAACAATCGTGAAAAATAATTAAATTATATACAAAGATATTTTTGTAGTCGTTAAAAATAAAACGATATTCAAACGATTTGCACGTAACATGTCCGATTTATCTAGTAGGATTGGTTTATCTCCGAGTTTATCTCAGTTCTACGAAACGTACATTCACTACGTGCAGATAACAAAATGTTAAGATAAGTCGGTAAAAAACCGCAGATGTGTGGTTTCGCGATATCAGCCGGTTGCTTTTTACGATACTTCACGCTTACAAATAAATGAAAAAAAAAAAAAAATACACATAGGTAAGCTCGAAAGGTAAAGCCAAGATGGTTGCGTGTTAAGTAAATTAACAATAAAAAAAATTATCGTTCACGAAAATTATATGCTTTATTTCAGAATCTAGTAAACTGGGACGCGCCCCTCTTATGGCAGGTGGGCTATATGGGCGATCGATATTGGGAGTGGGTAAATCTACCAGTAGATCGGCCAATTCGATATTTCCAATCGGACATTTTAGAGATACTGTCGATCACGCCGTGGTATATGGTGCCAATCGTTTGGGTACCCATAATTACGTATTTCCTTTATATGGGCTGCGTTTTACATATTTCAACAAACACCGGTAATTCATTATACGGAATTTTTACAGCAAAAAAAACAATAGAGTAATATACATGAAAATGTTTCTAAATATATACTCCATCGTTACGTGTGTTTACGAGCGTTTTCTTTCAGCGATTACAACATCTTTTAAAAGTATCGTACCGTCTGTCGTTCTGGGACTGTTTATCTGGACTGTTGCGGAATATGTCCTTCATCGAAAAGTATTTCATTTTAAACCACCGGATGATTCGAAATGGCTGATTACTCTGCATTTCATGTTCCATGGAAGTCACCACAAGGTGAGATCTTTCCACAGATGCTTTAAATTAAATAGGTATGTATTAATTCTGCCGATTACATGTGAAAGTTGTGTCAATAGGCACCAATGGATGAACGAAGACTGGTATTCCCACCCACGTTCAGTTTATTTGTGATAACAATTCTTTGGCCAGTTTATAAGAGCTTATTTTCTCAGGCTCATTTTGTCGCCGTTGGTAGTATGATAGGTATAGTATTTAAATATTCATAAATTTTATTATATGATATACTGAAAAAAAAATAACTTCGAACATCCATAACTAAATGTATCCACTTATAGGATATTTGTGTTACGATTTAATGCACTATTATTTGCACAATGGCGCGCCGACAGCAGACTCGTATCTATACAAGATGAAAAGAAGACACAACTATCATCATTTTATCCATCACAATCAAGGTAATTAATGCGAATTGCTATTAAAATATACAGCGAACTAATCATTGTTCCTTGCAGGATTTGGAGTTACCAGCGAACTGTGGGATCGAGTATTTAAAACGGCACTAAGTCTGCGAAAATTAAACGAACCTATAAAATGGTGAAGCGGCTCGAAGAAAATGCGACATTCACATTCATTAATAACATTAATTTGTTTTAACATTTTTATTGTACAAATAATAATTTATTATTATTAATATAATCGCAATAACTGTAATTAAAATAAGTACAGTATTGTTTTTACAAGTATTGCGCTTTTATCATAGTTTCAGTACTCTCGAGTGATTTAAGTACATGAATCTTTAGAGAAAGATTCATTCAAACTTTTATATCATATATTTAAGTGATTAAAAGTCTTTAAAATAACAATATAATAATCACAAAGTAAAATTTGATAAATATGTATTTTAGCAGCTTTTAATTTTATTTAATTTGATTAGTTGTATTAAATGGTATATTAAACAAGACTTTGAATTAGTAAAGTTGTTGATATCTTAAGTACATACTATCATGGTTCAAAGTCCATTTATCCCATTTCAAGCCTAATATCACATACTCCACCACAGGGAAATACAATACCATTACTGAGATCTCGAAGCATATTTGCATTGCGGCTTACAGCCATTCATTAAATACATTATACCTGAGTACAAAATTCACGAGGGACCTCGCGCATGCGACTATCTAGATGCGACGTTAATTAAATTTCCAAAGCGAGCCATCACTGCGCCTCGGCCCTGACCGTCTTCCTGCCCATGCTCAATTGCGGAAATGTACTCTTGTTAGCGGGAGGATTCAGCTTGGACGACAGATGCATGAACGCCTCGAACAGGGTGGGTCTATCCATGACGTTCACCTCGTAATGCTTGACCTTCTCCCTGGCGCACCAGTTGGTCGCTTTGCTCACGGTATTCTCTAAGCTACTCAACGCGGCATCGGTCCTGGTCACCCGATTGCCAATCACGATCACAGTTATCTCCTTCTTATCCTTATTCTTGTCGATGTCCTTCTTCAGGGGAAAGAGCACGTCTAGAGATTCCGGCTTGCCGGTGTCGTACACCAGGACGTAACCGTCGGCGAAGCCGAGATAGTGTCGTGGAAGCTGCTGATTATTTACATTGCTCTGCAGAGATTCGAGCCCGGCCGTGTCGTAGAACCTGACCTTCTCCTTTGTGCCCCGATCAGTCTCAATGTTGGCGACGTAGATGTCCTCGATTGTGGGATGAATTTCCTGCGGGTTTGATTGAAAATTTCAGTGATTACAGTTCCTCGAGGTCCCGCGCAAGACGGACGCGCGAGGGGACACCCCCATACATATGACATAACCTAAGCACGTACCGTCTTCGCGTCGATGTTCCCGTAGACGAGCTGCTCCAGCAGGGCGGTCTTACCAACGCCTTTCATCCCGCAAACGACTACCCTCGTGGTCTTCCCCATACCTGGATCTTACGTGCCGACTCTCTCGCGGTGGCGATGACATTAGAGTCGTTTGACACCTAGCGACGGCCGTCCCGTTGCGCCGAGCGTGCGTGGGAACCGTTCGCGCGTGGGAACACACATGCTCACATTGGCCGGCGATAGCGGAACGAGAACGAGGAATAATGAGGACGCGGTATTTCACCGTGAGATAGATGAAGGGAACACGCACGCACCCGCATACGCACGCCAGAGAGAAACGGACATGCCCGTGGTGTTTTTAGTAGTCCACTAGTGACTCTATGTGATACGAAATGTGCATGCGAACTACTTAGTCATTCTACATACATCCCGACGGTCCCGACGGATAACGTGCTGCATGCACGCTTTTTGGTTCTGTTCCGTGCTATGTCCACGATTTTTTGGTTTTACTTATTTGACGTGGTTCGAGTCTGTAACTCTGTGCTTTACAAATGTGTGAAAATTGTAAAAGTTTCTACTGTTCATATTTATCCGTTTCTTATCTTTATTTTATATATATTTATATATATTTTCTTTCTTATTTTCTTTTTTTCTTATCTTTATTTTATATATATATATTTTTTTTTATAAACAAAACTTAATTTTTATTTTAGGAAACGAGTAATTGCAAAACTCATTCTTAAAGATTGCAAAAGAGTTAAATTGAAGAAAATAATACTGCATTCGCACTTTTAATTATTTATAAAATATATTCGATTATATGTTTATTCTTAAAAGAATCTGTACATGTTTGTTGTCTCTTACCCTTTACATTGAAATCTTTATTTGTCCTGTCCCAGTTCCTCGGAAATCGGCTGCTGCGATCAACCTATCACATTTAGAGATACCTATATATTAGAGATATATTTTTAGTCATCGAGTTATTCAATATTGAAGCAAAAATGGCTTTTTACTTCAATGTTGAATAACTCGGTGAAAAAAAATCGTACAACGCTCAACAAAAAAGCAAATTAAAGATAAAGATTCACTCTTTCGAAAGCTGAAAACTGCATTTGCATGCGATTTTTAATTCGCGCCATGGAACTTGTCAAAGTTTGTAAAAAATTTTAAGATTCGTCGGGTCTCCTTTTCTATCAGTCTAACTCCATGAAACATCGTTAGTAAGATCGTTTTCTAAAGTATCGATTTGGAAAGTAGAGATTTCAAGCTGTAAAATGCTTTTTTGATCATCTCGATACGATCATTTTTGACGAAATTACAATCTCTTGAATTTTGCCTATTTTTGGATGGTAGAGTAAGGTGATTTTTTATTTTAGATCGGAAGAGCACACGTCTGAACTCCAGTCACTT